AAAAAAAAAAAAAAAAAAAAAAAAAAAAAAGAGATGAGAGATGGTAGACACTGAGGGTGGAGGAATGTGCAAAATATGCAGGCTTAAAATGATCAAACATTGCAAAAGTCCTTTGTAAAGCCAGGCAGTGGTGGCAGTGCACACCTTTAATCCCAGCACTTGGGAGGCAGAGGCAGACGGATCTCTGTGAGTTCAAGGCCAGCCTGGTCTACACAGTGAGTCCAGGACAGCCAGGACTACACAGAGAAACCCTGTCTCAACCCAGCCCCCAACCCCCTGAAAACTGCAAACAAAACCAGTCCTCTGTGGCTCTGTGGCTGCCATTCCAGGAATTGCCATGAGTGCTGGTTACCTGCTGACTGGTAGGGAGGAGAGTCTTCAATTTCCCTCCTGTGTCAGGAGGCAAGTAAGCATATCCTTTGACAACTGGGGTTATTTTTTAATTAAAAATTTTTTTAATCCATTATATCTCAGGACCTTTAAAATCTTTAAAGTCTGTATCAGGGCAAGGAGGGTTTTGTCTTCCAGGTTTCAGCATTTTCTATCGAGTAGGAGAAAAGGGAATTCTGAATGTGGAAGGCTGTGCTTCCCACACTCACCCATTTTAAACACCCTTCAGAGTAAGGGTGGGTAAGAGTGAGAAGGAAGAAAAGTTGTGTGTGTATGTGTGAGTGTGTACTTGTGTGTGCCTGTGTATGTGTGTGTACTTGTGTGTATGCCTGTGTAAGTGTGTGTAATTGTGTGTGCCTGTGTGTGTGGGTATGCACTTGTGTATGTGTGTGTGCCTGTGTATGTGTGTGTGCTTGTGTCTGTGTGTGCCTGTGTGAGTGTGTGTGTACTTGTGTGTGTGTTTGTCTCCCTACGTTTCTTTGCTTTGAGATCTTAACATGCCAATGTCAGATACAAATATCGCTTTACTATTATCTTAAAACAGAATCATAGATGTGACTCTAGAGAAAGGTGACTATTTCTTCCTAAGCAGAACTCACACACCACGTCCTGCACACAGGCTCCTCTTTCATGTGCTTCTTTGATTTTGTATTCTGCCTCTCTAGGTTGTTGAGAAAAGTTACTTTAAGTATGTAAAGATGTGTTACATTTGTTTATGCCATGGAATATTATTTTAACTGTGTAAAGGTATGTTTCATTTGTTTATGCTGCATTTGTTTAACAGCATAAAGATGTGTTGCTTTGCCTGCCCAAGGCACCTGATTAGTCTAATAAAAAACTGAATGGCCAATAGCTAGGCAGGAGAGGGAGAGGCGGGGCTGGAGGGTAGAGAGAATAAGCAGAAGGAGGAATCTAGACTTAAGAGAGAAGAAAGAAAAGAACAAAGGAGAAAGAAAGGGAGACGTCTGGGGCCTGGCAGCTGTCAGCCAGACACTGAGTAGGACATACAGAATAAAGAAAGGTAAAAAGCCCCAAGGTAAAACGTAGATGACGAGAAATAGGTTAATTTAAGTTATAGGCGCTAGCAAGAAATGAGCTAAGGCTGAGCATTCATAACTAATCATAAGTCTCCGTGTCACGATTTAGGAGCTGGTTGGTGGCCCAAAAGAAAGTCTGTTACACTATGTCTTTGTAGTTGCAAAGGTGATGTGTGCCTCATAAACAGGAGTTCTGCTGAGACATGGGGCAGCATTGTTCCCAGGAGCAGGCTGGCACTTCCTGGTCTTCAATGGTGAAGGCCATGCACCCGGGTGGTTTCTATGGGGCTCCAGCCTTGGTGTGGGTGCGTTCTGTCGGTCAGTCCTGACTGCATTCCCTGCTTCCCATCCCTTCCTTTGGAAGTGTTCTGGACAGGAGTAGAAAGGCGAGGACCTTTGATGTGTGCCCTTAGCTGTGTCAACTTGAGTGACACTGTGAGCTCCGAGTGCCTCTCCCACCAAAAAAGTCCTCGTCAGTCACGCGCACTGCCGCCTCCACCCAAGGTGGCGGTTGTGAGGATTAAACTCCAATGCCCCCAGCGCCCGCATTCCTGTCCTCCTGCCTTCAAACAAACGGGTTGCTGACTTGGTTTGGCTTCAGACATCTGAAATGGATTGTCACACACTTCTCGAAACTCAGAAGTCTGAAATCAAGGCATTGGCTGAGCCGTGGTCCCTCTAAATGCTAAAGGGAAAATCTCTTCCAGCTTTGAAGCCCTGGGCACTTCGTGCCATGTGCCAATATCCCTCCCTCTGTCCCTGTGTCTCTTCTCTTTGTGACTTTTTCCATCTCCTTGGTCCTAGGGTCCAGTTTATCCTCGGGTACTCTCCACCTCTTCAGTTACTAAGCCCACCAATCCTCTCTCCACACACTATTCCAAGGCCCACCTGAACATTAGCCGGGTGAGGGGCCATCACGTTCAATCCACTGTGCAGCTCAAAGTGCAGTGCGGGCCGTTCAGATAATGAAGGTCCCTGTTCCCCCGTGCTAACCGGTACATGGGAAATTAGCTGGGATCTTATGTAACATTCGCAATCCCCTCGAAAGAATAGGCTATTTATGTAAGGCCACAGAAAATGTCTCGTAGGGTCACTTGCCAGGTGGTTCATGCCAGGTGGTCTGTGCCAGCTGCCAGGAGCCAAGGGCTAGGTGACAGTCAACTCGGCTCCTTGGGAGCCGTTCTCTAGAGGAGGAGAGTGACTTG